TTGTTTTGGCGTGGTTACGGCCAACAGTAACCGGTTGTGTGGAGTTAATAAAAAAGCGACTATTCGTCGGCACTCAAGGTTGTCTTCCTTGTGTCCTGCGGGACGCTACAATAGTTTGCCGGGTGATGCAAACAACTATTACTTTGCATTCAAAGCTCTTACATTTTAGTACACACCGCAACATTCTAGTTGTAAACACTTCTACAGCTCGCTTTTGAACACGAACACCTGTGTCACTCATTAATCACAAGTCCTATTACTGCATTTTGACCTTGAAGTTTAATCCAGTTTGGCACAGACAGAAACTCAGTTGCGATTTTGTATTATTTATGCACTTGTCAGCTCTGCACACAAAATTATGAAGTGCGTAAATGTTACCACGAGCTGTTTCTCAACTTTCTAATTCGGGAGGGTAGCGATTAGCATTACCAGAAAGTTAGCAAGCTTGGAGTAGTGGGCTAATGCTACCTACGGTACACGGTCTTAATAACATAGCTCTCGTTAGCTTAGCCACCCAGCATGCTGGACTTCATACTAGCCAGACTAAAAACATTTTAAACTCAATTTCCACACTTGCACTGGCAAAGACCACTCACAAAACTCTAACCTGGCAACGACCGTGACCTGTCCGTGCGCACGAAGCCCATTTTTCGTCTGTTTGAGGCCGTTGCCCACTCTTTGAAGGACTCGGGTCGCCATCTTTTACAAAACTTGTAAGCCGGAGGGTGTGTGAAACGGTTGTTCCCGATGGAGCTGACGTTACATACAACAACGTAACCCCATGTTAACTTTGTTGAACTTGATACCACAGAGGCCGTACGGTATCGCAGGATGTGGAGCACTACGCCCGCTGTTACACTACACAGTTGAAGCTTTTCAGGGTTTGACCTCACCACATTAAAACATAGGTCTGCTAATATTTCCTTCGACTAATAAAATCATGGTTATTATTCTAAATATAACTTACTAAAGTCTCAAAACAAAGCCATATATACTTCAACAAATAGATAAACTACTATAGAGCTAATTCATGACAAATGTGGTAGTGTTACTAAATACATATTAATAACTGCAATTCCAGATAACAAATGCATCAATTACAGATTAAAATACTTATGCATCCTAAACAAACTATATATTATTCTTTTTATATGTCAATATGATTTTCTAATGTCAAACTTACATTTTTAGTCAGAGTAAACAGATACAAGTACTATGCATATTTGTTTGTGAACACCATGCATTTTCATTGTTGTTTTATTGTAAATTTTTCAAAAAAAAATGTCTTAAATTCAAACTACCTGAGCAGGTAGCAAGAACAATGTATTGTATGTAAACTCTCCACCCATAGAAAAAGATTACTGGTCTAAAGTTTTATTTACAATAACATCTGAAACACAAATATGACAGATGAATGACATTTAGGCAAATATTACTGTGTAAATGAACAGTTTTCTATTATGAAGTATGAGTTGCTGATGGGGAATCGACTCCACTAGAGGCCGCAGAGATGTTGAGCTCCTGCAGTTTTTCTGATAATGTCATCTCTTCCGGAAGTGTAAGGTCTGTCAGAGGCTCCAGAAACTCAGTGCCTGCAACTCTCTTTCCTGTCAGTGGGTCAACCACCTGACCAACTTTATACACTATCTCAACCAGTTCATGCTTCACATGTTTGGACCTGGGCTCAAGAAGGGCCTTGAGAAGCACAATATCTCCCACAGTGCACTGTTGCAAAGCATCATGGGCAAAGTAGGTCTTCCTTTTGTTGTAGTACTACAGAGAAGAAAGAAGAACATTGGACTTATTTAGCTATACTCACTGTTCAGCAGCCAATCTAACAATGAATAGCATTTGGTTGTAAACAGTGAAGCTGATCATACAGATGCAGGCAGTGACAATAATATGCAAGTCTTAAAATTGAAACATTAAAAATGCAAACAAAAAGAATTTTAAGCACTACAAATTGTACCATACTTTCAAGCACTAAAAGAAAATGTTATTGTTGCTGTGTTTGTTGTGTAAATTTAGAGGCAGCTATAAATCTCTTCTCAGTCAGCACTTCAGCCAAACATATTTATACCACTTCATAACAGTACTTTTAATCATTTTTACTTGTTTTAGGCAAAGTTTACAGTTGCTCATGTCATGACATTACACACTGATACACCAAGGGGTCTGACATATTTTGCTACATGAAGAAGAAAAAAAAAAAACGTTTTGTTGGGGAAACATCTTATATCTGCTTGGCATCATGACCAAAAAGTCATACAGCATCAGTATTATACATTTTCATTATGGACAACCTATACATTTTTATGAAACATGAGTAAACTAACAGGGTAGATGTGACGAAGAAATAACCAAAATTCCCTTTTTGCATTCCCTTGTTTGGCAAGTGGGCTTTGTGACACCCATGCCACCTTCCCTTCCTGTACATATAAGCAGAGAATAAGCACTGTTGAAGTTTCACCTTGAGCAGGTAAGGGTCCAGCACCAGCCTTGTGACTCTCACTTTGGCAGTTTTGCACATCTTGGTCCCTATTACTCTGCCAATAATCCATTTGGCATGGACTGACGCATTCCTGGCTGACATTCTGGAACTCTATTCAGCCCTGTACTACAAAAGACCAAGAAACACGAAGATCCATCCCCATTCATTATTTGCCATACGACAGTTTGCCGAAGGCGTATATTCTCTTTTGCAAATCAAATGTCATAGTCATAGCTGGTCTCTCTTATCACACAGTGGACAGCTCCAGTTTGTACTTACTATAGAAAATTATTTAACATATTCAGCCTGTGCAAACTACTACAACATCGAGATATTTGCATCAACAAGTACATTATCTATGCAAACATTTCAAATTATAAAAGAAGGATGACACGAGAAGATTAACAGGCTACATTGTTAGCCTTACTGATGCTAACGTTAGCTTTGGCTTCACAACCGCATTAATTAAAAAGATGGAGTTGCAAGCGACAATGACTATATCTGACATTCACACAGAATAACATTGATAGTAGAACGGAAAAAATAAACTCACCAAAACTAATGAAAGGGAAAAACACTAAAAGGTCAAAAATACATCAGCGAATGCAGTCCTCCATGCTGCTCCGCTCGGCTTGTTTTGATGACGTAGACTACGGTTAGTAACGAGGTACAAAAAGTAAAGCTGGTAGCTTTTTTCCCAAAAGTTGGATTTGAAAAAATTACACAATACAGTGGGCTAACTAATGTTGATATAATTGGTTGTACAGTTGCTGTGAAAAAAGTTCATTTAGGTTTGTGAACACAACAAAGCATGTCAGCACCTGCATATCTGCAAAAGTGGAGTTGTAGAAGGCTATCTCACAAGTTGTGAACAGAAAAGAAGAATAACACAATGGACTAAACTACAGACAGTATTTAAATGAAGCTGTAGCTAAGTTAACTGTGCCTTGTTTCCATTAGGCCTACTGATTAAACTCTGTTGTTGTTTTTGTTTGTTTTTAATGGTGTTGTCACCTGTTGATTGACAATGTGATTTGAGAAATAAGCTACTACTTTGTATTTTGTTTACTCAACTTTCTTTACTCCTAAAAAAATTACATTTTTATTTTGGCCATGAGATGGTAGCAGAGAAAAGCATGTTTAAATGATGGGTTAAAGAGTACAGAAAAGAAGAGACTCTAAATTAAGAAACTGGGTAACAAAAACTAAATTTGGACATAGTTGAAGCATCTGCTACTGTGTGCAGGTTTATAAGATAGTATTTTCTTTTAAAGAACTTATAGGTGTATGTAGTGGGTATATCTATGACGGATAATGAGCATGATGCTCCAAACATTGTGCATTTACCCAAAATTAAGCATGGCATCAACTTCATATTCTCTATACTTTAATATCAGCATCTTAACATGCTCACAAGGACAATGCTAACATGCTGATATTTAGCAGGTATAATGTTTATCATGTTCAGTGTTAATTTGGCATAATAGCATGCTAACCTTTACTAATTAACAGTAAATATAAAGATGAAGTGTGAATGTCATTAGTTCTGAAACTGAAATTTTGATGGGGGCAACTGTTATTCAGTGGGTAGAGCAGTCGTCTCCTAACCGGAGGGTCAGAAGTTCAAATCTCGGTGCCTGCAGTCCACATGTCAAAGTGGGCAAGACACTGAACCCCCAAGATGGTTAGAACCATCGGTTGAGTTGGTTCTGTACCGGAAACAAATACCTTGTGTGTAACATACTTGGCCAAATAAAGGTGATTATCTGATGATGGCACTAGAGGAAAAGTCAAGGGACCCCAAAAGTCAGCAGGATTCATCCTCTGGGGATCATAACCATGTCAACAAAGTTTCATTATTTGTCGAAATATTTCAGGCCCTTGCTAAAGCCAAACATATCCATGAGAACAGTGAAGGACATTTCCCCATTACAGTCTTCTCCAGGAATGAGAAAAATATCTTGTTAGCTTGATATAATAATATTCGTAACAAGACCATTATCCTGTTATCTTGAGTAAAGTAACAGTTTTCAAATATTACAATAAAACAACTCATAATATAAAAACAAGGTTGTAAAAAAATAATCAAATCCTTATGGTAGCATATTGTCGGTCCTCCATTCATTCTTGCGCTTTTTTTGATATGAATTTCATTGTGTCAAATTTCTGTAAAAGGATCACAGAATTACTAATAGCCTATTCAGGCATTTGGCAATAATAAGAGGTCTTTTGGATCTCCACTAAAGCAGAGCAGTGGGAGAGATTATCACAAATGCATTCATACCACAACATTAACAGTCTTGTCCCTGAGTAGGAATTGGCTGAGGCTCAGAACCAACCACAAGCAGACCAATGTGGTCTTAATCAGAGTCATGTTGTAGTAAAGCAGAGATCTGGCTCCTCTGTTTCCCATTTAAGGCAGTGCAGCACTGGTATACCTCTGCCAGAATTACAACATTAGCCAACTTTAGTTTCCTACATACAAGCACACTGAGACAATTCACACAGCACCAACTGTTTTCTGTTGTGTAACAAATACTGTAGGCTAAACTGATTTTGAGCAGCATTCATCAGAATAGAGAAGCTGCATGGCTACCACCAGACATCATCATATAACATATATTTAATGGGGATTAAAGTCACTCATAACAGAGCACAGGAACAGTCCCAACGTAAGGCTTACCTCTTATCAAATCTGTGGGTCACATTGTATCAATGGCCACACTGCAATATTTGCTCAAAGATAATCACATTCAGACCCAACTGCAAATGCAGCTCATGTTTTTATATATAAGAGAACTGACATGCTCAGTTATCAGCTCTGAATCATGTGAAACCATGGCTGAGGTGACATAAGACAGAGGCCTGATAGCACGCAGCCTGTGTGATTACACATAGTATATGTTTTCTGTGATAACACAGTGACCTCTTAATCAGTTTTATACTTTCACACTAATGCACTACGTCCTCTTGTGTAAGTTATTAGTCACCAGATATGAAATTTTTCATTATCTAAGAATATTAAGCTAGAATGCTTGTGCATTTTGACCGAGCCTGTCACTCTTGGGGGGCCTGTGCATGGGGTCACTTTAGAGCTGGGAAAAGTTAAGTGATTTTATTGTTCAAATAATGGGAAGAGAAAATGTTTTGTTGGTTTAAAGGTAAAAAAAACAACAGCTTGTGCTTTCGGGTTGTCCATCCATCCACCCATCCATCCATTTGTCTGTACAATTCTTGTGAAAGTCAGGAACACTGAACAGAATTTCTTCAGCTTTGGCTCATGTGTCCAGTTGGAGTCAAGGATGAACTGATTAGGTTTTGATGGTCAAAGGTCAAAGGTCAGTGACCTTACTTCTCTTTCATACCTGTGAATTTGACTGGTTGGTGGAGGCATATAACCATGAAGCGGCAATTCTAGTTTTGAATTGCTATCACTGATGCATAAATGCCAAAGCAACACTTTATTTTTGCATTTAATCCAGGTGGACCAAATTGTAACTACTCGGTGTTGACGGGCAGCTTCAACTATAGCAATGCATCATCGTTTATGAGGCATTTATGTTTATGTTTTTATACCAAATCTTAACCTGTAAGGTAACTGCATTCAAATAAATGTAGTGATACAAGATGAACATTATATCCTTAAATAGATTTTGTTAAATGTGGAATAAGGGAAAACTACTAACAAAGAAATATTTGAGTAAAATATAAGAGTTGTGTGTACTATATAACAGTACAGAATAAAAGCACAAAAACACCCCAAACTATCTTAATGAAAAGTAAAGTACAAGTGCTTTGGTAAAGTGCTTACTAAGTAAATGTACTTAGATATGTACCACCAGTGGTATTACTGTAAGTTGGTCAAAATGTTTTTAACACATTTGTCTGGCAGCCTGCACTCACTTGGCAAATAAAACCAAACAGCATGTCAGAATACCAAACTTGATGTTTTGAGTATACAGAACTTCAGAAGGAACTTACTCAAAAAATAAAGTGTTACCAGTTGTTGTATTTTGGCATCTAGGGGGATTCGGGGCTGATTACAGAACTGGTAATTCCCAGGTTTTAGTTGAGTCATGGATCTTTGTTGAATGTGATGCCTCCTCTGTGATCCCTCATTGTTTGTCACTTCTCTGCTGTCCTTTGTGAAATAAAGGTAAAAACGCAATTTTCTAGAGCAGTATCATTTTTACTGTTTCAGTTTGTTTGCCATTCTCACCTGGACTGTCTCTGAATGTCCGAGTCACTTAACGTACCAACATGAAGAGAGTCAAATATGTTGGGTGTTTTATATTCAGTACATTCACAACACATGAGGGATAGGTGGAAGGTGTGACACGGAGTCAGATGAATATGTCACTCTGCATGTAGAAGCCCAAGAGTCATGTTCATTGTCAATTGTTCTACCACAAACACACATGAAACATTAAATTTGGGCATAGTTAACAAAATGGAATGATTTTGGCTAATGTGCTGTAAACATCCAAGTTGTGAGGGATTCAGAGATATTCCCTGGGTAGTGACATCATTTCTTCCTGTCTCCATTTGTTAAACATTAAATGAGCAGTCTTTTATAATCAATGTTCTTTTGTTTTCCTAAGTGCTTGTTGTTGTTGTTTTTTATTCTGTTGTCTCCTCTTGTGTTTGTATCATCAGCTCTACATTTCTGTCTTGTGTTGTATTCTCACAGCTGGAGGAGAAAAGTCCAGAAGCAGCCATTTTGCCAATAAGTGCAAATATTTTAGATTCAAAGAGGGAAGTGTCTGTAACTATTTAAGCAGCTGAGGTGATTTTAGGTTCAAGAGCAAGAAAATTGTGTTCTGTTTTTAAAAGTAAAGATTTTGTGGTCAAGGTGCAGTATGACTGATTAGTGCATGTCTTCTGTGAGTTCATGTTAACACAAAACAATGTTTTATGTTTTATTTAACTGACAATAACTTTAATTTTATGGCCATTTGAAGGCAGCAGAAACAAACTGTGAACACATATTATCACCTTTTAACATTCTATGGTGAATTGTTGCAAATAAAAGTGAAGATTTCTCTCACTTTGTCACTTTGTTTTCATTTAGTCATGAATGCATTGTTTTTCTGAGAAAATGTTGATTATAGCCAGTTTAATTAATACAGTGATACCTCTTTTAATGGGTGGGGTTTTGTTCAAACATATTAAAAGTGGACAAGTAAGTCAAAGAAGTCTAAATGGCTATTTTGGTACATTTTTTGCAGTGAATCTGGCTCGCCAGTGGAATCCATTGGAAAAGTTCTAAATCTAAATCCAAACTGATCACAGCTTCATCCTCCGCAAAAGAGCAACCTTTAAAAGGTTTACAAGGGCTACTCGGTGCAGCATCCCAGTCACCTCCTTGTGAATCTATTCATTACAGGGTCAGAGAAAATTATGACTGAATCAAACTGCAATGGACGCCGAACACCAACGTCATTTCCCACAGTGCAGTGAGGTCATGGTTTTGATCTGCTGGGACGTCTGTAGATAATGGAGCTCATTCTCTAAACACATGATGATAAAGCGACGTCCACTGACATGTCTGCGTTACAGATACCAGTCAAAAAATACGAATTGTGTTGGACGCAGAGGAGCAATAATCACCACAGAAAAGTTCAAATGTTTTCATGACATTGCTGCAGCTGGGTCACTTTGAGCCATAGATATTTTCATTCT